GTGTGGATGGAATATATGCCGAGAGTTTGTCTGTGGATGTGAAGTCCTGCCCAGGAGACTGGGGCTCATCTCATCTCTGGGCAGCCGTTAAGGCTACCATCTACCATCTGGGGTTGTAAGCCACCTCAGGTATTTGCCACCGAAAGTGAGCATAATTACGGTAAATTGAACTCGAAGGACATGCCGAGGAGCGCTTTAGTTTGCTTCATTTGCGTAGCATACTTTTGAGATGAAAAAGGGTTTCTCTTTGAGTTTGAGGCTTAAGATGGTCTTAATCTTAATCTTGAATAAATAATAGAGTTTTTAAACTAATAAACTAACCTCTTGATTAAAAAACCATCCACTTTAAAATTACATTCCGCTGAGGACTCTTCTTTTCCAGCCAGTCTGTGGCAATTAAAAATCAAATTCCCTTCGCTTTAACGCTTCTGCCAAATGAGATTTTTGCCTCATGGCTGCCACCTAATCCTCCTGCCCTCCGTCTCTGTCATAATTTCATTAAATAACGCAGCAAGGACACCTCATTGGATTGAATTGGATTGGATTGAAGTAAAGTCTAGGCGGAGGAGGAGCGAAGTTTAGCGAAGCTAGTTTATGTCACACAAATATCCAATGACAGACACCCCAGTGGGTGGCCATATACTCCTCCTCCTCCTCCTCCGTACTGGAATTCCCTTGGCTTCAGTTTGAATTTTTTGGCTTCAGTGCCAAAAAAAAATAAAAATAAAAATAAAGATAAAAGATGGCTGGCTAGGCACAGACTAAATCATATACCAAGGGTGGCCAGTGGTTAGTGGTCGTAGGAGGGCGTTGGAGGGCGTGGCCTCTTGCTAATTTCATTGACTCTTAAATATTATTTTTGGTGGCCAGCCAAGTTGGTAGAAAGTGGGAGGTTTCCAAACAAGAATTAGTTATTTTATTATAATTTTAAAACTATTCAACTAAGTTATGCTTTTGTAGCCTACTCTCCATAATAATAATAAATAAACCTTTAGGAAGTAAACCTTTTGTTGAGATTTTTTGCACCTGTTTTTGGGCCAAGCAAGTTTTTCAATTACGTTAAGTGCAAAATTGGGCAACAAGTTCTGTTGTGGGTTTCGTCAGGAATATGGGATTTGAGAGTGAGGGTATGGGTACTGGTACAGTTGTGCCTGGTCAGCCAAAAGGGAAGTTGAAGTAACTTACTTGCTGCCTGAAAATGTAAACCCCCCTTTGAAGAGACACAAAAAAAAGGGGGACCGTAGTTTCTTTGGAGTTTTGTATTCTTCGTTTCCAGCGAGTATCTTTGTATCTTTGTTTTTCTTGTACGTTGTTTTCTTTATCTTTATACCCTTGCAGAGGGTATTATAATTTTGGTCAAAAGTGTGCAACGCAGTGAAGGAGACATCTCCGACCCTATAAAGTATATATATTCTTGATCAGGATCACCTCCTGAGTTGATATGAGCATGTCCGTCTGTCCGTCTGTCCGTCTGTCCGTCTGTCCGTCTGTCCGTCTGTCTGTCCGTCTGTCTGTTTCTACGCGAACTAGTCTCTCAGTTTTAAAGCTATCGTCTTGAAACTTTGCACACACCCTTCTTTCCTTTGCACGCAGTATATAAGTCGGAACGGCCCGGATCGGCCGACTATATCCTATAGCTACCATATAACTGATTGATCGGAAATGGTATAACTTTGGTGTTTTTAGAGTTAGAGAGTTCAAATTTGACATGTGAGCTATTTTTGGCAAAACATTACGTCATGCCAAATTTCATAAGGATCGGCCGACTATATCCTATAGCTGCCATATAACTGAACGATCGGAAATGACCCAACTTTCGTGTTTTTGAAGATAGAAAGCTGGAACTTAGTACAGATTTAATTCTTGGTCAGTTGATCCAACCTACCAAATTTCATTAGGATCGGCCGACTATATCCCATAGCTGCCATATAACTGAACGATCGGAAATGGTATTTGGTAGAAATATCAACTTTCGTATTTTTGAAGATAGAAGTTTGGGACTTTTTTTAGATTTTGTATTGTAATAAATTGGATTATATATTCCTATTCCCATAAGGATCGGCCAACTATATCCGATGTTTGCGATATATATCCGGTTTTAACTGCAAGGGTATATAAACTTCGGCTCCGCCCGAAGTTAGCTTTCCTTTCTTGTTTTTTTTTTTTTTGTTGGCCTTACATGTGTCACATACACACACACACATGGCAGGACACCAGGATAGTCACATATATCATTGTCAAGTCTATATGCAAGTCCATGCCTTCCTCCACCCTCTGCCTTGGTGTAACCCCCGGATATCATTCCCTTGACAGCGCGTGGGGCGTGCGGCAATCTTTTTGGCTTGTCAAATGCGCATTTCCTGCTTCGAGTCCTTCCCCGCTCTATGGGAATCTCTATTTGTGCTAGTGTGTGTGTGTGTGTATCTGTGTGTTTGTCTCCAGCGCAATCAATATGGCGGCGCTGGGGTAATAGCTGCAGGATTTACGCGCTCGTGCGGCGTCTCCGGTTTAGCCCGCAAGCTTCTACGCCCACTTCCCAAAGCTACTCCTCCTTTCCGCCGCCATCCACCATCCACCCATCACTTACATGACCGCCAAGCCGTCGTCGCTGCCGTCGCCCTCGACAGTTACCTTTAAACTTTTTTTATTGATATTTTATGTATTAGTGGGTGGCTTGTGGGAGGTGGGAGGTGGGTTTTTGTCTTCTTATGAAAGCTCTGCTGTAATGATTTGTTTTATGAACTTGTTACGGGCTCTTCGATCGGGCAAGACGAGCCAATCTATGTTTAACCAAAGCCCAGAGACTTTATTTCGGCTGGGAATTTACGAGGCCAAGATGCGAAAGTAAAAAAATGTATTAAAATGCACAAGAAGAAAAAGAGTCTACTTGTATCCTTCATATATGTATAACATAACCCTCACCTTTAGCTCTACCTAGTACTCCCCATATCCCCACGAGTCTGAGAGCTTATGATTTATGGCCAAAAGTCGAATGCTAAAGGGGCCTGGTGGCTGGTTGACTGCCAAAAGGTTAGCCTACACCCCAATGCCATTGCCAAGGCACTAAACTTCAATTAGCCCCGACGAGAGTCCATGACTTTTAATCAGCGTACTTTACGCCACTCACTCTAGCTGGGTCTCTGTCTGGCCCATGGCCGCCACATATGAGCCTCTTACCCACCCACTCCCGCCGGCCGCCCATTCGCACGCGAACTGAAAATGAAAATGCGTGGAGCTGCTGCAGAAAAACACACAATAAATTAAACCAACAACCAATTACAGAAACAACAACAGCAACAAAAGAAGGCAACAGGAGCGAAGGCCGGCGTTCAAGGACCAGACATTTCTGATGCCCTGTAGGCAGGCAGTTTAGGCCAAGTTAGGGGGGTTCTGGGACGAAGTTGGAGTGAAATAGACAAATTTTTTCATAAAAATTATATTTCTAATACTTCTAATACTTTTAAAAAGTTTAATCATAAAAAAAACCTACCTATTCATAAATCTACTTAGTATTTTGAGGTTATCTTTTGGTATTTTAAGGTTATCTTTTAGTATTTTAAGGTTAGTAAGGTTCTCGGTGAGCTTAAAATTCCCTAAACTAAATGCATTTTTGAGTTATCTTCTAGTTTTTGAAGGTTTTAGAATGTCATATTATATAGAAGGTTTTTATTTATATAGAATGTCACTTATAGTATTTTTTTAGGTTCTGTTTTAGTGTTTTTAGATTTTCTTCTAGTATTTAAAGCTATCAAGACTTAAAGACCTCTATATTTGGGTTTCAAATACTTTAAATAAAAATAATTTAACATATAGTTATTTTTAAAGGATATGTGGGCTAAATATACCTTTTTCAATCAAGAGATATGCCAATATTTTACACTAAAATCATGGAAAATTCACCTAAATTAGTTAAAAAACCAATTAAAATGAGTCTATAAATAAAACTCCCCATGATATCCTTCAAAAACCCCTACTACAGGGTATTCCTCAGACAACCATGACTTCAAAGCTGGTTAGCAGGCTTGTTCCTGTTGCTCTCCAGTTACTATAGCCTTTGGATATAATTTTGACTGCCTCTGGTCACACATGACATGGCGACAAACTGTACAAAAAGTCCCTCTCCCAGAAGTGGGGAAATCAGCAATGAATTTCCCTCCTCTGAGAAGGAAAATCAAAAGGCAAAAGTACGAATCCCAGGGTGTGCAGTGTGTCCGGTTTAAAGATTTATTTGTTGGCTGCCAAAGTCAGGAATAAAGACGGACGGGAGTGGGGAGGGGAGCTGTGAAGGGTGCTGCGTAGTCGGGCGGAAAGGTTGCGGGAAAATGCTGGAAAGGGCAATGAGATGGTGTGCGATGGTGGCATTGAAGTTCCAGGGTCGATCGTTGTGTCCTCCGCTCATTTTGCATGTCGCCGGGGCGCTCTTTTCGGGCCCATTACAATAACAAATGAATGGCAAATTTGCTGCTTTTGCGGAGGAAAGAGGACATGCACACACACATACATATATAGTCAGGGAGAAAGTCACACAGACCGATGGACGCAGCAAAGTAGACTATGAAAAAGTGCCGAAAGATTTATGCTTGCCTCTGGCTTCTCTTACTCTCCCACTCTCTCCTCTTCCTCTCTCTCTCGTTTGTCGTTCTGGGTGTTTGGCAGTCAATGTGGATTCGAAAGCCATTCCGGTGATAATAAGCTTGAAAGCCTGCCACCCACCACCCACTACTTGTATGTGTGTGTGTGTGGGTGACACTTCGAGCTGACAGCAAATGAGACAGCTGCAAATGGAGAAGGTGTTTGCCTGTCTCCGCTCCTGTCCTTGTCCCCTGTCTCCGCTGTCTCTTTCCACTTTGGACTCATTCCCGGGCCATGTGTCGGGTATTAGCTTTGAAAATCTATTGCACTGCCATTCCAGCTGACTGGGCTATGGAGTATCTTAAATATTAACACTTCCTTTTATCCAAAAATTCATTAAATTAACTTTAATTTTTATTCATTTCCAGGTTTCGGCTGGGCAGCATCTGCATTTGAGTGGCGACATGAAGAGCAATGTCTCGGTGGCCGCCCAACAAGGTGTCTTCTTCAGTCAGCAGCAGGCCCAGCAGCAACAGCAACAGCCCGGCGGCAACAATGGCCCCAATCCGCAACAGCAGCAACCGCATGGCGGCAATGCTGGCGGAGGCCTGGGTGCTGGTGTGGGCGTTGGCGTGGGCGTGGGCGGAGTGGGTGTGGGTGTGGGCAATGGAGGACCCAATCCCGGACAGCAGCAGCAACCAAATCAAAACATGAGCAATGCAAATGGTAAGTAAAAATAATAATTTATTTTATATTTTAAATCTAAAACTAAGTATTCTTTGTAGTACCCTCCGATGGCTTCTCGCTCAGCCAGAGCCAGAGCATGAACTTCAACCAGCAACAGCAGCAACAACAAGCGGCAGCAGCCGCAGCAGCAGCAGCGGCAGCGCAACAGCAACAGGCGGCCCAGCAGCAGCAACAGCAGCAGGTGCCGCCCAACATGCGCCAGCGTCAGACGCAAGCGCAGGCAGCGGCCGCGGCAGCGGCAGCAGCGGCGCAGGCGCAAGCGGCCGCCAATGCTGGCGGACCGAACGTACCGCTGATGCAGCAGCCGCAGGTCGGAGTGGGCGTCGGTGTTGGCGTGGGCAATGGAGGCGTGGTCGGTGGACCAGGCGGTGGCGGCGGCGTTGGCCCCAATAACGGTGCAATGAACCAAATGGGCGGACCCATGGGCGGCATGCCGGGCATGCAGATGGGAGGACCCATGAATCCCATGCAGATGAACCCGAACGGACCCGGCGGTCCCACGGCCCAGCAGCAGATGATGATGGGCGGAGGCGGTGGCAACGGCGGCCCGGGTCAGGTGCCAGGTGGTCCCGGCGGACCGGGACCCAATCCTAACCAGGCCAAGTTCCTGCAACAGCAGCAGATGATGCGAGCGCAGGCGATGCAGCAGCAGCAACAGCACATGGCCGGAGCCCGTCCACCGCCGCCGGAGTACGCCAACGCCACCAAGGCGCAGCTGATGCAGGCCCAGATGATGCAGCAAACGGTGGGCGGCGGTGGCGTCGGTGTCGGCGGCGTGGGAGTGGGCGTTGGAGTTGGAGGCGTCGGCGGTGCCAATGGCGGTCGCTTCCCGAACAGCGCTGCCCAGGCTGCGGCCATGCGACGCATCACTCAGCAGCCCATTCCGCCCTCCGGCCCGATGATGCGCCCCCAGCATGCGGCCATGTACATGCAGCAGCATGGCGGCGCGGGCGGTGGTCCTCGGGGCGGCATGGGTGGTCCGTATGGCGGCGGAGCGGGCGGACCTATGGGCGGCCCACAGCAGCAGCAGAGACCGCCCAATGTTCAGGTCACGCCCGACGGAATGCCAATGGGCTCGCAGCAGGAGTGGCGTCACATGATGATGTCGCAGCAGCAGACGCAGATGGGCTTCGGCGGTCCAGGACCCGGAGGTCCAATGCGACAGGGCCCGGGCGGATTCAATGGAGGTGAGTGTACCCAGATTTCGAATAACCGGAAGATCTTAACCAAAACTTCTCTAATCCTAGGCAACTTCATGCCCAACGGCGCTCCGAATCCAGCTGGCAACGGCCCCAATGGCGGTGGCATGATGTCCGGTCCAAATGTACCGCAGATGCAACTCGCACCGGCCCAGATGCAGCAGCAGTTGATGCGCCAGCAGCAGCAGCAACAGCAACAACAGCAGCAGCAGCAACACCTGGGACCCGGTGGCGGCAACAACATGCAACAGATGCAGCAACTGCTGCAACAGCAGCAATCCGGCGGCGGAGGCAACATGATGACCAGCCAAATGCAAATGTCCAGCATGCACATGTCCCAGACCCAGCAGCAGATCACCATGCAGCAGCAGCAACAGTTTGTGCAGAGCACCACCACCACCACGCACCAGCAGCAGCAGATGTTGCAGATGCAACAGGGTCCGGGCGGTGGCGGCGGCGCGGCTAGCAACAACAACGGGGGCGGAGGCGGTGGCGGCGGGGCGGCCGTGGGTGGCAACACGACGACGACCATTGCCAGTGCCAGTTCCATTAGCCAAACGATCAACTCGGTGGTGGCCAACTCGAATGACTTTGGTCTCGAATTCCTGGACAACCTGCCGGTGGACAGTAACTTCTCCACGCAGGATCTGATCAATTCCCTTGACAACGACCACTTCAATCTGCAGGACTTCAACATGCCGTAGATGGATGTATAATGTCGTTGCATAATCAAAAATCCACCCAGCCAGCACCAAAAAGAAGAAAAAAACACTCCACCACCATAACCTAACCACCACGATGTTGCCTCAGTTTTGTTTAGATTTTTGTTTTGTTGCCTGTTGTTGTTATTGGTCCGGGCAACCGAATCCAACCGCCCACAAAGCCCCTCCCTCCCGTAAGCCTACGCCCCACAACCCTCCTCGTTCCTGCCAACGAAAGTTATTTTGTTTGTTATTTGTGTGTGAATTTATTCCTAAGCTAAGTTCTATATATGTCTCCACTATGTACTCTAATTTCGCGGGCTCCACTCTATCGTATCGTATTTGTATTTGTATTTTGTATTTTATTGTAATTGTATTTGTATTTGTATTGTATTGTATGTGTATTATTAGAGCTGTTCAGAAAAGGTCCAAGGCGTTCGCCAGTCACTGGGCGTGGCAGCGGCTCGAAAGTCCGTCAGACATTCCATATAAGGCACCGATCGAAATAGGGAACTTAGGGAACTTCTCCAGAAAGTATTCGCAAAAGTACTTTAAAATGCAAGAAAGTAAAAAAAAAAACCAAAAACGTACCGATTTTACAATTTACAGTTTACAGTAGACCTCCATCCGCCTCCCACCACCCTCGCAGAAACTTAAGCACTTGTACTTAAAGGACATAATATATTTTTTTTTGGCCACGCCCAGTGCTACGTACGCCCATTTCGTTTGATTACTTAAGCAACCAAAAAAGCAGATGAAATAATGGATGCAAAATGCAAAAAAAGAACCAACCAGAAAACAAAAACAAAACACAAAATAGTTGTACATTTTATATTGTATTTAATTTTATTTAATTTTTGATAGAAACAAAATCGACAAACTAAAAGTAAAAAAAGGTAAAAGAAAAGAAAGAAATTAACTGTCAGAATAAAAAAAAAAAGTAAAAATATTGGTGATATTTTTAAAAAAGCTAAAACACAAATTGAGAAAGTAAGCAAATCAAAAGAAAACTTAAAAAATAAATGAAACGACAAAAGTGAAATTCACAAAAACACACCAAAAGGGAAGAAACTTTTTAAAAAAAATAACAAAACAAGAAACATTTGAGAAAACAGTTATTATTATTATAATTCTAATCTATTATTGTACATTAATTTTTTTAGACGAGGTTCATTTTTAAATGGAATTTTAAAACGTGGAGCAACAGTGCGAGAAATGCGCAAACAAAACATATTTAAAAAATATACACTATATATAGTATATATATATATATTATGAGTAGTTTTTGGTAGTGAAACGTAATTAGTAGTTTGTTAAATAAATTGATATACACCCACAAATACATAATATTAATATAGAAATCATATATATACGCGATCCGATATATTTGATTAATGTAAAAGCAGCGCTAACAATTTACATACTTAGTCCTAAGTCGCCACAAAATGTTTGAGGGGTTAAGAGAGATCGAAATTTATATATTTACTAGATGCGCCTGGCCGCATTACCAAGTGATGCCATGCCAAGCCAAGCCACGCCCATATTAAAGTTGGATTTGGAGGTTGAACAATATAGTACAGCTAACAAAAAAATGAAAAAAAAAAAAGCAAAAGAAATGCTAAACAAAAAATCTTCAAAGTAAAAACGAAAAACGCCAGAGATTCCAGCAATGAAATTATTGTACGACAACTAATTAGAGCAATTCCATAAGTCCGTAAGTTAGAGACGACAGACAGTTCAGTTGAGGCCATAGAAATTTTTGAATTGAACCAGGACAACCGCATCCTGGTTGCCACTTCCACAACTACATATATAGAAACAGACAGCTCACAGCCATTTTTGCAGAGTTTACATTAATTAGGATCAAACAGCAACAAAATCCATAGCACACACACGCCTAGCAAAAAAAAAATATACATATATATAAAATAAATTTAATGACAAAAGTATTTAAGCCGCAAAAAACAAACAAAACGATAAAAAATCTAACAAAATTTACTATTACAATTATAAATGAATAACAAAAATACGCGAATTGTAGTTTGTAATTAATGCTAAAGATACGAAGTAAAAATTTGTTTATAACTATTATATGAAAACCGCAAATTATATATACACTATTATTAAATACAAATTATATATTATATATATATATACACGCATATTATTACTATATACAATATGGCATATTATTATTACATATATATTTCAAGACGAAAGTAACTAGCGAGCCAGTTCGTAAGGTGTTCAGATGCCGCCTCGCTAAGCAGTTCCATTGAAATAAATCTTAAAACTTGATATCAATTACAAAAAGAAAGCAACCAGCTGCCAGCGGCAAACCAAACATAAAATATTTATAAATCGGGAAGAACTGCGAAAAAAACAGAAGGATTACATGAGCAAAACACTTACTTTTAGCCTACTACGACATTGATTTTCACTTTCCAAAACGAGTAAAATCGATGCTAGCTAGCGCTTTGGTTTTGTATTTAATTAGCCAAAAATAGATTGGTACTCGAAGTCTTCTGTTTGCCGTTTCTTGGTTCTCCGGGATTGAACAAAAAATGTTGGGAAGCAAAAAACAAACATTTAACGTTATTTTACGATTTGAAAAGAAAAGTAACAGAATAAAATAGAAAAATATTACTTTTGTAAATAAAATGGATGTTGTTTTTATTTTTGGGAGCTTATTTTTTGATGGTGGGTTTCGATTTTCTCAACTTGTTGCCCTTCCGATTGCCATAGCTCCTACAATTTACATCCGATCGGGAAACTATGTATAATTCTGTAATAAGAAATGGTATTTCTGTAATAAGAACTCAAAGTAGCTTAATCCCTCATACCAAACCTTCCCTAAATACCATTTTTTAATTTTTCCAATTTTTCCTAGGGGTACCCTCATAAAATTTTGGTTTTTTCCAATATCCCCACTTTTGCCCCTTGCGATGGCCATAGCTCTGCCAATTTGTGTCCGATCGGAATATAAAGTACCATTTTGAAATCAGCGAACATAGAAGCGACTTTCCTCTTTCAAAACATTGCCCAAATATAGTTTTTGAATTTTTCGAATTTTTCCTAGGGGTACCCTCATAAAATTTTGGGTTTTTCCAGTTTCCCCACTTTTGCCCCTTGCGATGGCCATAGCTCTGTCAATTTGTATCCGATCGGAATATAAAGTACCATTTTGAAATCAGGGAACACAGAAGCAACTTTCCTCATTCAAAACATTGCCTGAATATAGTTTTTGAATTTTTCGAATTTTTCCTAGGGTACCTAGGTAGGTAATTTTGGGTACCCTCATCAAATTTTGGGTTTTTCCAGTTTCCCCACTTTTGCCCCTTCTGATGGCCATAGCTCTGTCAATTTGTATCCGATCGGAATATAAAGTACCATTTTGAAATCAGCGAACACAGAAGCAACTTTCCTCATTCAAAACATTGCCTGAATATAGTTTTTGAATTTTTCGAATTTTTCCTAGGGGTACCCTCATAAAATTTTGGTTTTTCCAGTTTCCCCACTTTTGCCCCTTGCGATGGCCATAGCTCTGTCAATTTGTATCCGATCGGAATATAAAGTACCATTTTGAAATCAGCGAACACAGAAGCAACTTTCCTCATTCAAAACATTGCCTGAATATAGTTTTTGAATTTTTCGAATTTTTCCTAGGGGTACCCTCATAAAATTTTGGGTTTTTCCAATATCCCCAATTTTGCCCCTTCTGATGGCCATAGCTCTGTCAATTTGTATCCGATCGGAATATTAAGTACCATTTTGAAATCAGCGAACTCAGAAGCAACTTTCCTCATTCAAAACATTACCTGAATAAAGTTTTTGAATTTTTCGAATTTTTCCTAGGGGTACCCTCATAAAATTTTGGGTTTTTCCAATATCCCCAGTTTTGCCCCTTGTGATGGCCATAGCTCTGTCAATTTGTATCCGATCGGGAAACAAAGTTCCATTTTGAAATCAGCGAACACAGAAGCGACTTTCCTCATTCAAAACATTGCCTGAATATAGTTTTTGAATTTTTCGAATTTTTCCTAGGGGTACCCTCATAAAATTTTGGGTTTTTCCAATTTCCCCACTTTTGCCCCTTCTGATAGCCATAGCTCTGTCAATTTGCATCCGATCGGGAAACAAAGTACCATTTTGAAATCAGCGAACACAGAAGCAACTTTCCTCATTCAAAACATTGCCTGAATATAGTTTTTGAATTTTTCGAATTTTTCCTAGGGGTACCCTCATAAAATTATGGGTTTTTCCAATATCCCCACTTTTGCCCCTTGCGATGGCCATTGCTCTGTCAATTTGTGTCCGATCGGGAAACAAAGTACCATTTTGAAATCAGCGAACACAGAAGCAACTTTCCTCATTCAAAACATTGCCTGAATATAGTTTTTGAATTTTTCGAATTTTTCCTAGGGGTACCCTCATAAAATTTTGGGTTTTTCCAATATCCCCACTTTTGCCCCTTCTGATGGCCATAGCTCTGTCAATTTGTGTCCGATCGGGAAACAAAGTACCATTTTGAAATCAGCGAACTCAGAAGCAACTTTCCTCATTCAAAACATTACCTGAATATAGTTTTTGAATTTTTCGAATTTTTCCTAGGGGTACCCTCATAAAATTTTGGGTTTTTCCAATATCCCCAATTTTGCCCCTTCTGATGGCCATAGCTCTGTCAATTTGTATCCGATCGGGAAACAAAGTTCCATTTTGAAATCAGCGAACACAGAAGCGACTTTCCTCATTCAAAACATTGCCTGAATATAGTTTTTGAATTTCTCGAATTTTTCCTATGAAAGAACCACTCTCCGACTAGCCAAACGAGCCATGTGGTTCTCCTCCGTTCTTTCATCTTTGCTACAAACAGGATCGATTAGGGAAAACTTGTTATACCTCTTCAAATATAATTTCCGTTTAATCCAAAAAACACATTTCGTATTTAGTTTTCATTCATATTTATTGATTCTTCATACGCATGTTCATAATACATAATTGCATATTTTACGACTTATGATAAATATTTGTATAATATTCCATTTTAAATACATGCATTTAAAGTGTAAGTGTGTGGGTGTATAGGGGTGGTGTGTGCTTTAATTGTTTAACATTATTATGGTGTGTACGCATATTCAATAATTCAATATGTAGCCATTGCAACACATCCGCGAATTCAGCTGAAAGCCTTCGGGCTGCATGGGCATTTTTAATTGTTATTCTTGTGGATAGGACCTAACTGAGCACTCCAGATCAACTTAAAAATTAACAAGCTTGATGGCTAATTATGTAGGCTTTCTTTTCCTCCTTTTTTTGTGTACATTTACGATTGGAGTGCGGTATTTGAAACTAAAACAATTTACAAATAATTAGCAACTATTGCGAGAACTAAAAAGTGTGCTAAAAACTAATTAGATGCTAGATCTTCCAATAATTACTCGTATGTTTATGCATTATGGTTTAGTTTTAGGTTTACTAACTTTTCAACACTTAGATGCTAGTGCTAAAGGTGCGGCCCGCCAATTCGAACAATTTCCACTTATTTTCATCCAATTTCTCGTAATACCTCAATGAGTTTTTCTTTCAGTTTAAACAATTTATGTATGTATGTTAAATGCATCAATCGCTTGCTTGGTTAGTTGAGTTCATCATTATTAGTTCATTAATTTAGATGCGAACGCAGTATTTGTATCTGTATCTTGGATCTGATTCGGATGTCTGTGTTCTGTATCTGTTATGCAATAAAATCAGCCTTAGTTATAATAATTGTTACTCGTGATTACGCATTATATAAGTTTTGGGTTGCCTATGACGATATTTGCATTAAGCGCTGGCAAATATTTGAGAACCTCATTCATCATTAATACAATACGTTGCATTTGTTAATTATCGTCGACCTCAGATATATATATGAATACTCTGGCTCTGGCAAGTTAAAGATTTTCTCTAAAAAACAATTTTAGAAAAAAATCGATTAAAAGTAAAAAACCTGTAAATTTTACTAGCAAAAATTTACGTTTTGTTTTCGATTGTAATTTTTTGTTTTTTTTTGGATTATAAAATTTGCCGCCTATTGAAATATTTTCCTTTTGTTTCTTGCTTTTATAAATATTCACGTTTAAAAACATTATACGTTTTAATCATTTAGTATTTGTTAGTATTAGTTTAGTTGACTTGACTTGACTGGAAATTCGGCTAAATGCTCAAATTCAAATATTATTGTTACTCGGTGCAACTTTCTCCTTCACTCCTACCACTTTTACCATCCTGCTTCGTTTTTTTATTTTTATTTTTTAGGCATATAAAACCTACACTAGTTGTGTGTTAGAATATAATGTTAATGTCGTTTAAATGTTTTTGTGCACTAGTCGAACACGAACTCGAATGATTAATGGATGGATACTGAAGAAATGAACTCGCCTCTGCCTATCTATCTATCTCTGACCTTCTGATATTACAAACTAAAATCATCGATTTCGCAAAATCGGATCTAACGCAGCTCGAAAACAGACTAAAAGATCGAAGCCCTTTCAGTTTGCTTTCAATCGGGGGTTTTGGGATTAACTAATCGTAAAATATTGCATACGTACTTGCTGTTTGATTGCAAATATCGTTTAGTTGCTGCTCGCGGACAGCCTACATAAATTTATATCACACGCAATAAATATATATAAAATAAAAAGTGTAATTAAAGATGTTTCTCTAATCGAAGCAATCGCGATTTCGATTTTCGGTTTTGTGTCTCGGGTGCAGGCAGTTGCTGTTGCAGTGACAGTTGCAGCTCTATTCGTTGTGAGAGTGGCAATGACTGTTGTTGGACTAACACTAAGCTAACGATTTAACGATTTGGCAAACGGTTGATTTGATTTCATGTGATCGCATGTGATCTGAGCCTACTAGTACTAGTTTAGTGCAACCGATGGTGGTTGGCCTTGGGCATGGCGCCCACAATTCGCACCCGACCCAATGTGCCCACCGCTCCGGGGCCAGCGCCACCGGACAACCGCTGGTGCATCTGCAACATCTGCTGTTGTTGCAGTTGCTGTTGCAGCTGTTGTTGTTGTTGCTGCTGTTGCTGTTGCTGCTGCTGATGCTGCTGCTGCTGTTGCTGTTGCTGTTGTTGCTGCTGTGTATGATACTGTTGGCTAGTTGGCAGATGCGGCTGTGGCGCGTGCTTGGCATCGTTGCAATCGCAGAACTGCGGCGGTGGCGCCAACACCAGATTCTCGGTGCACAGCTGCTGCAGATTGTTGTTGCCCGGATGCGCCACAGCCGCCCCAACGCCCGGAACGCCAGCAACGGCGCCAGAAGCAACAGCCACCAGCTGTCCGCTGGGCAACATGCCCACAATATGTGTGGCCATCGGTTGTTGCTGCTGCTGCAGTTGCTGGAGTTGTTGTTGCTGTTGCTGGTGTGGGTGGGGATGCGGATGTCGCTGTAAGGTGTGCTGTCCCTGCTCGCCATCACTGTCCGCCTCCAGAGGCGGGGGCAGTTGCATGAGGGACACTGCCGAAGTCCGAGTGGCGCCTCTTTGCATGGCAATCGCCGCCGCCTGCTTGCGGGTCAAGGAATTGTGCCGCTGGAAAGCCTTAGCCGGCGGCGATGGACTTAAATCTCCATCGTCATCCTCCAAATCGGAGCGCTGTTCCATCTCCGACTCGTGGCCGCTGGTGGAGCCGCCCTTGTGCAGCTGCTGCTGATGCTTGGCCACCAAGGCTGCCGTATTGCTGGCTCCTCCGGCAGCGGCCGCTTTCGCCTTGAGTATCTGCTGCAGGTGCTGCTGGTGGGCCATCTGCTGTTGCTGCTGCTGCAGTATCTGCTGCTGGGTGGCAATCAGCTTCTGGTTGGGATTCGATTGTTGCTGTTGCTGCTGCTGCTGTTGGTGATGGACATTGGGAATGCGACCCAGGACTTGGGGACTCATCACCTGCTGCTTGTTGTTTGGCTGTTGATGTTGCTGTTGCTGCTGCAGTTGCTGGTGTTGCTGTTGCTGCTGCAATTGTTGTTGCTGCATCTGTTGTTGTTGCATCTGTTGTGCCTGCATCTTAGTGCTAATGGAGACTTTGTTGCCACCCATTTGTTGCTGTTGCTGCTGTATAACAGGCGCATGTTGCTGCTGCACAAGCTGCTTCACCGTCAACGTGGCTGTGGGTGCTGGAGCACTTGTGGCACCACCTATGCTGATGGTGGTCTTGGCCATGGGCTTGGTGGTTGTGATGCTGGAGGTGGTGGTGTTGCTGATTGGCTGATCGGGAATGGTCTTGGGCTCCTCCACAATGGTCACCGAGGGCTTCTTCTTAATGGTATCGGTGGGTTTGACGCCCACAGCGGCAGCTCCTCCTGCCAGAGCCAGTTGCTCTTGTTCGCTGCTCACTCCGGAGCTGCTGTTATCGCACTCATCCTCGCCTGGCTGCAGCTGGTGTGGCGCTCCTGGATGGGATAGCTGCTGTTGTGGCTGTGGTTGCTGCTCCTCCTCTGGTTTCTTGGCAAAGCCGTTGGGCGAGGACTTTGAGGTCTTGAGATTGCTGCGAATGCGCTGGATCTCCTCCACGGAGAGGGAGTGCGAAATGGAGGCACTGCCTGAGTTGGAGCTGCTGCCACTGGGGAAAGGAAGTAAAAGTTAGGTTTATAGACTCCTTAACACCATAATGATCCTCTTACCTGGCCTGACTATTGCCACTGGTCTCGGGAACATCGAACAAGGCAATCTTCTCATTGAGCTTTGTGTTGCGCGCCACCAGAATGGAGTTCTCATCCTCTCCATCCGACTCACTGCAGCTGTAGTCCGGTTCCGGTATGGGGGGAGCTGCTCCGGGTGCTCCACTGGCAGTTCCATTACCGTTTTGTGCCACGGCTGGCGGAGACTGCTGAGGCGGCGGTGGAGCCGGCGGGGATTGGGGTGCCGCCACCTGTTGCACTTGAACCTGCACCTGTGGAGCGGCATAGTGGGAGGCCACCTGTGGCTGCGGCTGCTGCTGCTGCTGCGGAGGACGCAGTTGCGTGGGTGCCGCATACTGACTGATCGGCTGGGAGCCTCCGGACGTCTCCTGGGATGGCTTCTCCTGGGCCTGTCGCAGCTTCCAGGCCATAACGTTGCGCAGCTCCTGCGGCGAGGCGTAGATCTTGGCGTTCGCCGAGGGATTAAAACTGCTCTGGACGCCATCGATGGCTGCACTGGTGACTGCATCGTTCTCGGCACGCTTCTTGAGCTTCTGCTGTAAGGAGATGGTGCTCTCGTACTCCGAGACGCTGCTGCGAGTCTCCACCTTGACCACCTGACCCACTGGAGGCGGCGGTGGTGGATGATTGGGCGGCGGCAGTACTGCTCCTCCAGCGCCAGCTGCTGTGCCTCCTATTCCTGGCCCTACCTTCAGCTCTCCTGGCGTTGAGTTCAGGCGCTGCAAGGAGGCATGCAACGTGGCCACATCGTCCTGCGAGTGATGACCCTTGCCAGCCGCCTGCCAAATGGACGAGGCCGAGCCATGTAGCTGGGGCCCGTGCAAGTCTGGCGTAGAATGGAACCGCTTTAGATCCCTTCCGCCACCAGCTGCACTCCCCGGACCCACGGTTGGGGTAGCCACGGGCTTGCCCCGCAGAGTTCCGCTGCCATGCTTGCTCCTCGCCGTCTTCCGCTTCATTTCCGCCACACTGCCGTAGACCAGGGGTCCGCCGCTCCTCATCGGCGAGCCATTGGCGGCCGGGGGAGTGGCTGCTCCACTGTCCGTGCCCGACTGGAAGCGGGAACTGGTCATCATGGTGGCATACCGGCTGGCGTTCGCCGCACTGCCCTCGCCCTGCTGCCGCTGGAACAGCTCCTCCAGCTCGGCGGCCGTGATACGACTGGACGTGGGCCTCGCCTTGATGCTGGCGGTGCGCAGCTGGACGGGAGTACCCGGCCCAGTATGGATGCTGCTGCCACCACCCGTCGCTTGCGTCGTGGCTATGGACTCCACCGAATTCGATTTGGTGTGCGGTAGGTCGTCGTCCTTTTCGCCGCCATTCTCCAGCCCGGCCACCATGGACTTGGCCCTGGCTCGGCCCACACTAAGTGTGGTCTTGGGATCCCGACGCGGTGGCATCGGGGCCATGCGTACGCTGCCGCCCGAGGAGGAACCCGGACCGGGGCCCGTCATCTTCCGGGGCAGCGTGGCGCACTGCCGGTGGGCACTTTGCGGGGTGCTCGGTCCGCTGGACAAGTGCTGGCTTCCGGCCCGGGCAGCGCCGCTGGGCAAATACTGGGCACTGGCCTGCATCTGGTGGGGGAACTGTGGCGACACTACGGTCATGTTGACCAGGGCACCCGCGGATCGGATCATCTCCACCACCTGCTCGTGCGAGGCGGCACTCACGTCCTCGCCGTTGATCGTCAGCAGGAAGTCGCCGGGACGAAGGCCGGCCATATCGGCCACGCCACCGGGATCCACATCATCCAGGTATTGGAGAGCCGGGAAGCGCTCCGAGGGGCGCAACTGCATCAGCTGGGAGCTGGCCTTGGCGCCGCGCAGGATGAAGCCGAAGCCGCGCTTGGCACGGTGCAGCACCACCGAACGTGGGGCATTGTAGGCGCTATTGGAGGACATTATTGGATATTAGAAAGGAAAGGCCAGAGGATGACATCCCATCACTTACCTCTTCTTAATGCGCGGAGCTGTGGCACTGCTGTACTGTCCCACCGAGTGGTTGTTGTTGCTGTGGTTGTGGTTGCTGCCAGCTCCCCCTGCCCCGCCATTGGTCTCCTGCTGCTGGCAGGACCCGTTGCTGGCCACGGACAGCGATGGCGAGTGATGCGGCTGCTGGAGCAGCGTACTGGAACTACCCGAGTGTCCGCCGAGACTTAGCTGGGGCGAACCTTGGTAGGAGGAGGCACTGGGCGCCTGCTGCTGTTGTTGCTGCTGCTGTTGCAGCTGCTGGGGCGCCATGCCCGTGCTGGCGGTCATCACGTTGGTGATGTGCTTCTGGCGCAGACTCACCTCCTGGACGCAGTCGGCCGGAAAGAATCCGGACTGATTGGTGCCACGGACATAGCCCTCCAGCAGGCCGCAATCGGTGCTGCCCACCACCTCGATGACATCGCCCGGCTGGAGGCGAATGTGTCCCACCGTGTTCCCGGCATATGGCTCCATGCACACCACCGTGGTGCTTGGATGGCCGATGGAACAGGCAGCCGAGTCCGAATTGGTTCCCACGCCGGACGAGTCGCTGATGATGTCGCTGGTGTCGCCCAGGGATTTGTCTGTTCGGAGGAGGAGTTCAAGAGCGTGAGTGCGGAAAGACTTTCAGAGGAATTCTTATCAAATAGAGGAGACTGGAGGCAGAGGACCAAACAAGGACATGCACACATGCAGAGACAAAGAATAAGCCTGATGCAGTGTTACTGGCACAGTGATTGGATGTGGGGGGAATATATATTTGATTTCGTTTAGGGATTAGCTTTAAGGATAAGGATTCTTTCAGAATATTTTTCTCCATCTTTGATGATTTTGTTAAAAAAGTTTTTATACTCTTCTGTTTTTAGAGCTTTGAGAAGCTTAAGTCCTCTTATGGAACCTACTTTAAACATCCTTTTTTAGACTACTAGTCTTTCTTTGAGTTTTAAATTTAGTTATTTTTACATTCTTTATATTCTTTATTTAAAAGTGTAATAATGAAATAATTTCCGGGCATATTCTATACAATTTTAAAATGATTTAGAACTATAGATACATTTAATAACTGATTTAAAATCAAGTAAACTCTGTGCAGTTGTTCTTAAAATAAACTCATGCTTGGCTTTCAAATAAAAAATTAAATAAACTCCGAATAAAACTACTTACATAACATGCTCTGAATAGATTAGTTAGATAATAAATGTATTTTTAAGAAGTCATACTTATCCTTTCCGCTTTGGAATACTTAGGTGTATATTTTACATCTTATGAGACTAAGTTCTTAAGCCCCCAAATAAAACTTAAGGATGTAGTCTCATGTTCCGGCCTACTTTTTAGAGGTTATTTCAAAAATTTTTTTTTGTAATAAAAAATAATGCGATCGTTTCAATTTTCACATATGTTTTTATAGGCATCATAAACTATTTGAAAAAATTTTGTTTAATTTATTCTTGTGTAGTTTAATACACTTTATAGCATGCCAAAGTATGCATATAAAAAAAAAAGGTGGGTCCCTGGCGCAGGTGATTTCGACTGCTAGAGTCATCCGAAAGAAAAAATTAGAATAGATTATTGTTTTGTAAGCTTATGGCTCTGTCCCGTACTAGAATGAAATATTTTCATCAATAAACAACAAAATGGCGAACTCACAAAAAAAAAAATTTTTTAAAATTTAAAAAATTTATCTTAAATTAATGATAAAAAAAAAACTAATCATTAAAAATAAATGATTCTAGTACGGGACAGAGGTGTTACTTTTTAGAACAACATATCCAAATTTCAGCTAGATCGGTACAATAGAATTTTGTGAATCACCTGCGCCGCACACAAAAATGTCGTTCCGAGAAAAACGCGTTTAAAGTATAGACGCTACCGAGAAACTCATACTTTTCGGTGTAGGCGCGCTCTCGATTATGGGCTGTATCTCTGTCATTATTTGATATTTTTATTTGAAACTTTAACAGTACATTCTTAATAAACAATACTATCGAAATGTGTGAAAAAAAAAAATCGATTTTTTCAACCTCACACATGAGACTACATCCTTAAACGTAAGCGTATGCAAATGAATGAGAAAACAAAAGCCAAGGCATCTCCTCACCTGTCACAATGCTGATGTCGTCCTCGTGGGAGCGGTGGCCCGAGGAGCCCTCGGAGAGACTGGAGCTGGCGGAGCTGTAAGCGCCCAGCATATGCTCCGAGGGGCAGGGCGACGGGGGGCCGTGCAGCTGCAACGCATGTAGATGGGGCAGATGCTGCTGTTGCTGCTGCTGGTGGTGGTGCTGGTGGTGCAAAAGATGCTGTTGCTGCTGTTGCTGATGGAGGTGGTGCTGTTGGTGGTTCTGATGGCTGAGCATCAGACCGACACCGCCAGTCCCATTACCATTGATGCCACCGTTGGTGGAGCCGGCAATCATTGCACCACCAAAACCACCGCCAGCCGCTGCCAGCAGAGCGGCGCCGGCGGCTCCGTTGGCGCTCAGCCACCCGATGCCCGAGCGTCGTTTTGGATTGTAGCGCGGCGGTCCGCGGAAGGGAACTGCGTGGTGATCGAAGGATACGAGTTGCTTAGAATGTGAGTGTGTGAGTTTAGGGGGTGTGCGTGGGTCAAGGGTGAATCCCATCTTAGTTGGTTGTTAGTTTTATGAGATTTTAGTTCATGAAATCTTTCATCAAAATCATTATAATTTCAAGAATATTTTAAGAAATATATCCAAAAATTTAGGTACATCTGGAAACTATTTTTGGGTTTAAAAAGTTTCGGTTTTTGTTTGAAAGTTAACTTTCAATTAAATATAAAAAGCTAGAACTAATAATACCCTCTGCAAGGGTATAAAAACACTTTTAGAAAATATAAATATATTGTAATAATTCCTCAAGAAAATCTTGTATAATTTTCTTGAAAAATTAAATACATATTATACCTCTTTATTAAATCTTGCAAGATATTTTACTGTCTTTTTTCAATATTCTTGAAATTACTTTCCAATTTCCTTTCCCTTTTCGAGTTTGTCAGTTTCCTTAGGAACTTCTCCCCAGTCAGTTTTCTACTCAATCTATGTATTTCTCTTACTTTCCAATTAAAATAAGCACAAGTATTACATTTTCTAGGAGCCTAGGGCCAAGACAAGTCCTTGGCACACACTCCACTTACACACACTTACTTACTGTTCACTTAGCGAAGGATACGCGACTTTGGCAATAAAAAGCAAAAAGAGGCACAGGACACTCTACTAATGTCCTGGCAACGTACAAACAAACCTAGGCTAGGCAATAAGTGATATATGTGGATATATGCACGGATGTATGAGAGATAGAACAGTACTATATAGTAAAAACATTGAACGAAACATTTAATGGAACATGGAACAAGAACAGCCAAAACGAGTCTGAGATGTGTGGCATTTCTCAAAAATATCTCAAAAACAAGCAAATGCAAAATACGAAAAGGTGTGTGTTCTGTTTTTGGATAAATTATAGGTTGCATCTTACGGATTACAGATATTTATATATATTTATATAGAGAGATATATATACGACTAATATACATTGATAATGGGGAGAGACCTACATGATCGAGATGAATGAATGAATGAATATATGGCGGTGTGTGTCCAAAAATATTGATATAGATCGAGAGTTTTACGGAAAGACTCTTTAAGGGGGAAAAACTGATTCGAACTAAGTGGAAAAGGAAACTATTTTTGAGATGCGAGTGTCCAATATTAGTAATACAGAGAATTAAATAGACTGAGTAGAGAAAACGAATTTCAACTAAGGAGCATAAACAAACTCAAATATGAACGGGGGGTTGCCATCCCTTGAATGAATGATTTTTGATTCTGTTGGGATTACGAGTCGAGTGATCAAGTTTTGAATGAATTGATGGAGCAATGAAGTTATTGGAACAAACACTCACCAATATCCTCCGACTTGTAGTTCTCAATTATCTCGGCTAGCTCTAAGTTGCCGGCGATGACAGCCACCTAGATGGAATAACAATATTTAATATAAGATCTAGAACCAGAATACAAGTCATTAGAAGGCAAAACTAACTTAAGAACTAGGCTGAACTACAAGCATAACTACAGCAGCACAAAAGTACCAACTTAGAAATTACAAACTACTAGTAATCTTTGAATTAAAATAAAGTTTTATTTCTTGGAAACTAGATATTAGGTTTGAGAAAGAATATGGTAGGATTTATTTAAGATCTTGATTGTATGATAACTATTTCCATATTCCATCTCCATCCCCTATATCTAGCCTCTCATAGACACTCATAGGGCATTAGCTTTACCTGGTAGGGAGTTTGATTGGCAAAGTTCTGGGCACCTCGCTGGGCGCCGCGAAATAGAAGCATTCTAGCACAAGCCTCTTGGTTGTTAACAGCGCACACATGCAGCGGACTATTGCCGGACGCATTGCGGCCATCCATGTCAGCACCGTAGAACAGCAGGTGTTCCAGGTGCTGGACGAGGCCATGCCGACAGGCCTACGGGTGTCGGGGTGGAGCCAAAGAGTTGCAAGTTGCCAACCCGCGGGTTACATTATTATTAGCAAGCATATCGTTTTATTTTTTTTTTTGTTTTTAAGAGTTAGATTATAAAAGTTTTGAATAAGAAACGAGAAAGAGAGAGAGAATAGAGAATTCAATCATTAATCATTTCACCGGGGAACTGGCTCGGGGACAAAGCAGTTTCTGTTACAGGAGCAAGGACCTCAGGGACCGCCACCGACTTACCTGATGCACCTCGTTCCAGCCCTGACTGTCCTGGATGCCCAGTGTGGCATGATCGTGGAGAAGGCTCTCCGTGATCTTGGCCTCGCACTTCCTGGTGATGGAGATGTACAGAGGCGTAATGCCCCGACCATCGCGGTAGTTTGGCGAAGCTCCCAGTTCCAGGAGGGTACTATAAGAGGGAAGAGTTATTATTAAACCTTGGTTTGTGGAGAGAATAGTATAAGCATTACCTAACCGCCTCCAGGGAATCATGTTCCACGGCTCGATGCAAGGCCGTAGTGCCATCCTTGGTTCTGTAATCCAACAAGGCTCCACCATTAACCAGAGCTATGAGCAGCTTGTTGGGCTTCTTGGCACCCGTGGCCACCGACAAGGGGGTCTCCCCACTCTCCGAGCAATGGAAGTTGGGGTCCAGGCCCTTGGCACACATCTTGGCTATCTTCTCCACGTGGCCGCCATTGATGCACTCCAGGAATCGACGCAGATTGGCCCTCGTATGGAGGGCCTTCAGTTGGCGCTCGTCCAGGGTTAGCATTTTGTAAACGCGACGTTTGTACTTGAGCTGAAGATTTGGAAAAAAATGTAATAAGTTAAAAAAAATTCATTGAAAGAGAGAGTCCTTTTCTCACCTCCAAGTAGCCAACGGGTCCATTGAAGGGATAGTCGCCCAGGCGTCGCTCTTCATCCAGGAACTTGCCCGCCTTGCCGTTGGAGGGTGGTGCAAAGAGTCCATAGTTGAAGCTTTCCTTCAGCTCCTGGAAAAAAAACCAAAAGAAAGGACATGCTTTTAGACGTGTGCTGGGTGATTCAGGTGTTTCATTGACGTGCTCAAGTTGAGGGAGCCGCACAAAGGACTTCCGGCCCGGCAATGCCTGGGCTTGCTGTGCATTCTACTCCTAGTATCCTTCACAATGTCCTTGCTAATGAGGCTCCACCTGGCGGCCACACAACGTACTCATCCAGAACCAAATACAACTGCCTTTAAGTGGCAATTTCTTGTTTTAATTAAACACAAAATGCAAAAAAAAAAATAATAATAATTCACTGACATGCCACGCCCCCGAAAAAGTTGCCACCCCGGAAAAGTTGGTCGTTGTTGCACAGACTCCCCCCGCCTCACAGACTCCAGTCTCTCGAGTGTATAACGGGTTTGACATTGCCGTTGCATTAATTATGCAAAGTGCGTGTGTGCCACACTCACACATGTGACTGTTTCGTGTTCTATTTGGTCTATTCCTCACACGCCCTTAAGTGCCGCCAAAAGCAGTTCCATGCTGCCACATAATGCGGCAAGTGTCGCCATTAAAATGAACAATTTTCCTAAGGTCTAGGCCCTAGTCATAGACATAGCCATGTGTGGCATAAATGGAAGAAGGGTGTTGCGAGTATGTTGGGTGGAAGTACTTAGCTTTGCCACTAAAGTCAACCACTAATACTTGTAGAATTTGGAGTTTTTAAAAAAGGATATACAAGTTATTATTGGTCAGAATTAATAGAGGGAAAGCGATCTTCCTTTCAGGACTATTTCTTTCCAGACTCCCATGCTGACAACCTTGCTAAGATGATACCCCCAGAGGATCTAGGCTTCCAGGAATGGACTACAACGCGAGCCTTTTGCAGAAGCCGTCTGGAGAAGAACAGGATCGCCCTTTTCCAGCAACAGGAAGAATAATACAGGAATAAGAGTGGACATGCTGCCGAAAAGGACGAATGGGACTTGAAGCTTCACAAGGCGGAACCCCGTCAAAGAGCTTATTGTTAGAAGTTGGTCCAGAAACGGCCAAGACCAGGAAGAAGTTCAGGAATTCCTAAAGGACTGGACTCAAGGATGTTATGTGATATGGAAGTGATAATGATATGATATGTTTGTGATATGGATGTGTTGAATAAAACAAAAAAAAATAATCAAACCATGATTCGTTGATTCAGTTCTATGGGATTTCTGGAGGATGATGTCTGCCACATTGGTGATAGGGGTAGGGTTTGCTTTCTATAACTCCCATATTCTCTGGAATGGTTGCCTATTTCAAAACAAATAACAAAATAAAATTAAATTAAAAAGCCACCTAGTTTCAGTAACAACTGCATTCAAATTTTCCTTTCGGGTCACGTTTTTGAAACTCTATTTATATAGTTGGGATATCCGTTTCATATGCAGCTTGGCAAATGGCAGTTGGCAGCCAGCTAGCCAGCAGGCAGCTAGCCTTTCTTGATGAAGCACAACCCAAAACAAGCCACCCCCTTGGCCACATAAATTTCAGCCGCACAAACTAACACGCCCCCAAGTAGCAGTTACTGCCCCTGGCCTGCTCGCCAGCTCATCTCTACAAATTCCAAAACTCCTTAACAAAACAACAAAACACGTTAACGGTTGTGCGCCAAATGGATTTTATGGCACCACCCTCCTGGTTTTCTGCCCTTTGGGGTCCCTTACCAACCCTCCAGCAGCACACCCACTCTCAACTAGCCCAGCTAGCCAACATCCCCCAGGATTCTGGGGTCTCAGTTACCGTCTCAGTCATGCACATGCAAATTGCAGACACGTCGCTGGCCTAGACCCCAACAGAAGCAGGGGGAGTAGGATGATGTAGGTGAGGGTAGAACAAGGAATACCCTAGGATATCAACCCAAACGCAAAGAATCCTTCGTTGTTAGAGGGTATAGGGAAGTCTGCAGTTCCATAGAAAGGCTCAAACCTAAAGGATTTCCCCGTCCAACTTTGATTTCTTAGAGGGTTGCCCCGAAAAGTCAACTTGCTTGCGCAAATTGCATTTTTATGAGTTTTGATTTCGATTTTCCAATCCGTAAGACGGCTCATAAAGAAAATCCGGGCCAGGAAAAGGGGCAGTAGCAGTGGCAGGGTCTGTGTTTTTTTGGGGGCAGTATGGATGGATGCTGGATGTTTGGAAAAGTAATTTAGAACTTCTGTGAGCTGCTGCGCGTACTTTTTGGCTTTAAAGCACTTTTCGAACTGTTTTTGCTCATTTTGGATTTTGGGTTGTAAGTACAAACGTACGTGTGTGTTTTTGTAGCCAGCCATAAATTGTGTTCGGCTGCAACAAAGTGGAGCAAGTTGGAATGTGTATTCGACATATTTGGTTGTGTACATACAGTATAGGTAGTATTTTTGTGGCAGCCACCGGACTGAGGGGGGCAGACAGTGGCCATAAATCATGGAGGAATTGCAACTGCAGGCACAACTAACATAACCAGCAGACCCAATGGGTCTCCCCGAAGGGTACAGAAGCAACAAATTGCAATTTGCATGAAATTTACAATATTACACGGTTTGAGAGTCAGCTGGTGGGGCAGTTTGGGAGTCTCGTAAAGTGTAGAGTTCGAAACTGAATGGATGAATTCTTAGAGAAGATGGAAATTACATTTTTTTTGTTAAAAGTCTATGAATAATATTCAAAATTATTCGAATATATTTTTTTTTTATTTACTAGACTCTCTTAAACTATTTTCCCACTAAAATCCGCATTCTAATTTAATTAATTAACCCAGCCACCGTAATCTAAACAAAACATTAAACCCAAGATTTGAATCCCTTTCGGAAAGAGCCATTGTTGAGCCAAAGCTCAGCTGGAATAATTCAATTCAATTTAGAGGCAATTGGCAATCTGCATGAAATTGACTTTGTGGCACAGTTGGACAGTCACTCGGCCGTCTGAGTGAGTGTCAAGCTCACTCCAGCGAGAACTAAAGTAAATGTCAATGCGATGTGCGATGTGCTGGGTGCTCTGTGCTGTGTGCTCTGTGCACTTGCAGCCAGCAAATGAGCCACTTCCTGTTCCAATAAGAAGCAAGAAAAGCCCCCCAAGGCCCCCAACAAAAGACATCATTGATAAATTGTCAAGCGGCAGTCCGAGTATTTGTTGCCAAGACTGTTGCAATTGTTTACTAGTTTTGATTGAAAGCAAAAAAGCCCAACCGAGCAGGGGGATAGTGGGGGGAGACTAGAGGCAGGTGAGGCATAAACAGTGGCTGCAAAAAGTAAACAACAGTCAGAGCGAGCCAATAGACGACTGGACAGCCTCCGGAGTGCATGGAAGTGGGTCGCCGGCCATCTGTTGTTGCTGTTATTTCTGGCCATAATCTCGTTCTATTGCGGCAATTAGAGTTGCAACTAACACGGAAAAAACAAATATCTCAAGATTGAAGGCTTATAAATATATTTTATTAACCAATAGATGGATATTTTATGCCCCACGACCGGTCTATTAGATATTTTTCTTTCTGTGCAGTTTTTGGTCAAAACTCTTGATAGGAATTTTGGTTTTTAGACTTTTTCGGTGGCTTTGTCAGCTTTTTACATTTATGGTCTCATTAGCGTCAGCAATTTTTTTTCAAGCATTTATTTTTTTCAACAATTCTGTTTGCTTTAGTTGCAGTTTGAGAGCCACTGGTGCCTGCCAAGATATCGGATGACCCGAAGATCTTGGGCCAAATGGCTTGACAAAGCAGCAAAGTGATAACGGAAATGCCACAAAAGGGTATAGCCATGAACAATGGGTCAAAACACTGCAATTTCTTGGCAAAAATTAGAATAATTAAAAATTCAAAGCAAATATTCCAATATTGAAAGAGGGAAATGGAATTCAAATCGAGGCTCCCACCTTGGCTCTGGTTTACTTTTCGAGCCAATATTTACGCACATGTGGCGTTAATAAACAAAAGATCCATTTATTTGGCAAATAACCTTTCTAGAGCACTTGGCCTGCGTCATAGGAAGATTTTTCGTTTGTCCCATGGTATCAGAGTCTTCCGAGTTCTTTGGCTTGTTCGCTGCTCGCTGCTCTTTGTTCTGGAAGATTCAGTTCAGGACTTCTCAGGTTGCAGCCCAAGAGGCTTCAGCATCAATTTATGTAATCTGCCAAGCCAAGCCAAGACAAGCCAGTCTTGGCGGACGCGGGCGCGGACTTGGTCACATCATCTTATAAATTTAGCTCGTTTGCCGAAAGGGAGCAGGAGGCTCGAGAAGATGCCTGTGGTTAACCGCAGATCCCACTTTGAATCGCTGTTTGGAGCCTCAAACAATGCGGCCTTTGCTTTGTAAACTTGAACCTTACAGGGAGAAAAATTATGGGACACTTTCTAAAGGGTTTTTGGATAAGTCTTTGCAACTAAATATGACTCTTACTCAAATCCTAATTAATAGAGCTTCTTTTAAGTCCAATTTTAAAGATTTGATTATTTTTTTTTTCAAATTAAAATATCTTTCAGTGCTGATTGACAAAGCTTGGGTTCTACAAGAAACTGGTTTTCAACTTCCAGCCAAGTTTTCTGTTCAAAATTCGCATTCTTCTCGTTCGAATTGTTTGGTCATTTTGCGGCTCTGAACTTGGCACGGTATTGGGGTTTTGGGTTCGTTGGGGTTTGGATGGGGGTTTGCCCTTCCAGTCCTCCAACTCTGCCCTCCCCAGTTGACACATCACCGTTTGGGGCTTTGGAACTTTATTAATTTATGCGTGCATTGGCATCGGATTGCGGTAATTAATTTCAAGTTGATTGCATTTTAAGGCGCAGTTCGATTTATCATCCAACCCGTTGCCTCTGCTGCTTCTGCTGATCTCGGAAGCTCTTATAAGGTTTTTGAAAAATTAAATTGCAAATGAAATGTTCTTTGGACTGTACTTTTGTACCCTAGGATCGCGCTACTCTTTTTCGCGGCAGGAGGTCAATGACGTACCTTCCGCCTGCAGCTTCAAAGTCAAAGCCATTCAGCAACAGAAACAGAAAACTCAGCCCATCG